TGATTGATTTTCCTCTGGTTATAAAAATGTGACTGATATTCCGGGTTAAAAATATCTGTAAGGATAGTAGCGGAGTGCGTTAAGTGGGGTGGAAGATAAGCCTGGTGAGAACCGAAGGACAGAAGCGACCGATACACGGTAATCAAACCCATATCCAACCAGTTAGTCTGAGTTTTTTGTAGGCCTGTCTGGCCTATGGGAGACACCTCCTAAGCCGATGATGTCCGTAAAGAAATAAAGTAATTAACTGACTTTGGCCGGGTCCGAAAGGGTATCAAGGCTAGAAAATTTTAATTTCGAAGTTTTTTTTTCCTTTAATTAAACAGAGCCTAATTTTTGCTGGTAAAATGTATTCACTGCAAACTGTTAAATATGAAGTTCATTTCATATTTTTGCGTCCAAAGCAATGGCGTAGGCAGGAGGGGGGGGGGGGGGTTAGGGGGGTCATAACCCCCCCCCCCCATAGACCCCTTGGTATATATATATAAAGTATGAGGGAGGTGCAAATCGAAAGTTTGAGGGGGGGGTGCAAATCGAAAGTTTGAGGGGGGGTGCAAATCGAAAGTTTGAGGGGGGTGGGTGCAAATCGAAAGTTTGTCCCTGGGTAAAAATTGGAACCCCCCCCCCCCCCTTGAGACGATCCTGGCTACGCCACTGGTCCAAAGAATGTTTAAACTACAACCCACCGCTGACTTAAGAAACGGATAAAATGCATGAATTTCTGCCTATTACATAACCTCCTTCACCCCCAATTAAAATTTACTACAAAAGTGGGACTGAATATCTTAAGACGTAACTCCAAACGCTAACAAAGTGGGGCCAATTTAACAAAATCCAACTAATAGCTGGCTAGTGAGACCCTCACAAAAGTCGCTAAATAGTGAGACCAATTTAACCAAACCCGTTCGCTAGTGAGACCCTCACAAAAGTAACTACAAAGTGAGACAGCGCCTCACTTGGTGAAGCCATCTGTTCCAGTCTCTCAACCATCTACCACTTATGAACTTTGCACTCTCTCACCAACTCTTTCATTACTCTCCAATCCTCGAGTTACTTCAGTACAGGCCAGATCAAATTCTATCAACGCGACCAAAACAAGGAGAAAAGAAAGCGGAAACTCACGCTTGTAGACAATAGCACCAAGATAAAACAGTGGAGTAGCCGGACCAGATGTGCTAGTCACGTGATGAGGGTACCACTTAAATCCGCGATAGCTAAAAGATTGTCGAGTTGTAAAGATTCGTCTGTTTTCCCGCGTGACCCTAACGTACCTACACGAAGCTGTAGTAACGTATGTAGGCGTTAGTTTGTTGCGGTCGTGTCTAACTAATTGAAGATGGCGTGTTCACACTTGAGGGGCGTCAGAGCTTCATCGTGTGGTTTAAAAATGTTTGAATCAGGAGAAATTGGAACTGATTGGGATAAGAAACATAAGTTTCGTTCCAGAATAGTTTAGGTAAAATATAGCCACAGGCATTTAAATTACATTTACAAAAATCATACTTTTTAACGTGACTGCAATAAGCGAGAGAAACTCAGTAAAAATAATTTTTTTAAAACTTGTCAAGTAAAGGACTTCTTAAAATATATATTAAAAAATGAATTTTAAAAAATTAAAAGTGATGCTGTGAGCGATGCTAAAGTTGTCAATGATAACTTAGACTTCTTGTTTTGGTTTATGGTAATGGCGCTGTATGATTGAACTTCATAAGTCCCGCATTCCGAACCCCGGCAAATGAGGCTCTATAGTTGGTGGACAGAAACCTATGCAGGAGAGAAAACTCCAAATTCAAACAAGTGCTGCCTTGTAGTGTGTTCTTGAGTGGACAAAGGCTATGGACGCAAATTTAGAGAGAAAAAAAGTAGGGGTGGGGTGGGGGGCAAAACATGTTGACACGTAATACTTAATCGAGTTGGAGGATATCTCCTTCAATGCTGAAATTATCAATTTCGTTATTTGTAAACGTGACGCTAATGAATTCATGACAGCTTACGAATTTAGAAGTTCCGTATCAAATGGCATTAGACAATCTACGATCAAACTACAATCACACGCAATCTTCAATATAAATACAGCACACACTTTTAAGTGACAAACTAATATACATGATTGTTGCGACTCAGTTTTAGATTCGTTTCAAGAGACTGCGGATTTAACTTAGCCAACAAAAAGAATGGAAGTAGAGTCTACGAGTTCAAAATTCGCATTTTACATCAAACTTGAGAGTATACGAACATGAGGGTATATATATATATACGAACTCTTTATAAAACTAATCGGGAAAACCCTGTACATAAATAGCGACACTTCAACGCCTCATTATCGCAAGTGTGCCTAAAGTTGAAAACTTTGTTGAAAGAATATTTTTACCAGCGTATGAAATTGCATCTAGAAAAATCTTAAAATGTGACTGTTTCGTTTGAACACAAAGACATTTGATATTCTTAAATTTTTAGATCAGCCTATTTTAAATTAATTGTTCTTTCTAGATTTAAAAAAAATGCTTTTTATTCTAATTCCTCTTATTTCTTTTGAGTTGCTAAACGCGAAACTATGCAACTGTTGATTTTTTTTAATGAAGCTCTGGAATGACTTGAGATTTGTACAGTCACAGAAGGTCATTGATAGAAAGTCACCTCCAGAACCTACATGTAAGGTCATTATCTGATATCTTCATAATTGTTTAAGAAACTATCAGAGATTCTCGTAGGTCATTACATTATATCATTCCCGAGGTCAACGAAATACTCCCAGAGGGCCACAAACAAAATATTTAGCTCTTGCTGGCAATTTCAGAATAGAGAATTAATTTGTTATTTTCGCATTTAGCACTTTAAATTATTTAAAACATTTTTAAGTCAAAGTGAAAAACGCTTTCTAAAACAAGGAATTTTCTGTTAAATAAAACTATTTTAATTAGCCCACTAAGGGAAAATGTTTTCCCAAGTGGCAAACTTGTTTTTCAGTACCCAGTGTAGCCAGAAAAAAAAGTATTTTACCCATATAGATAAACGTGTAGTGTAAGGCTAAGCGTGTAGGACGAACGGTGTGTATTTTGGTCTTGAGCATCGCTTATCTGGCCATCATCGAAAACTTGCGATATGAAGAAGACGGCATACGAGACCCACCCCACCGGGGAGAGGAGTGGGGGGGGGGGGGGGGAGAAGAGAGATAGAGAAAAAAATTCACAGTGACCCACCCGTAGACACAGGGGGATAACTCCCAACAGAAGCAAATTCTTTCATTTTGCAACTTGAAACGTAATTAGTATAAACGTAGTGTTCGGCTAAACGTTTTTTCTTTCACTAATAAAATCTGTGTTCAGTTGTGTTGAAAACCAAGTGCAGTTGTTAGCAGAGGCTGTTCAAGAAGAACTGAAGTTTAATTTCTGTGCTAGATCTTTGTGTTTTTGGTGCTAACTTCTAAACAATGTGTATGTTGAGCGCAAATCATTAGAAAAATATTTTGGGTAGTGAGATATGTTATAAATTATTTCTGCTAAAAATACTTACTGGGGGGGGGGGGGGATGGGGGGGGGGCTAATATTTAAGTTTTGATTATGTAAAGCACAAAAAAAATGTTAGACTAAATTATCTAAGCTAACTTATTGATATTACTTTTAATAATCTATTAATAGACACGTTGCCGACCCAGCGACAAGATAAGGAAATATTTAATTTTAAAAATAAATACCATAATAACACAGTTTAAATTATTTAAACAAAGTATTAAACAAAGTATTATTTTTTATGAAATAGATATGTATTTCCATGACAGTTCTATTCTGTTGAGCTTTTTCTTCTTAGTTTTGAGTAAAACGTGAAGTAAACTTGTAAACTTGAATCGATAAACAGTAGAGTAAAGTTGTAAACTTGAATAAAAATACAGAAAAGTAAAGTTGTAAACTTGAATAGATATACTTTAATCTACAGGAAAGTAAAGTTGTAAACTTGAATAAATCTAAGCAAAATAAAGTTGTAAACTTGAATCGATATACAGGAAAGTAAAGTTGTAAATTTGAACCGATATACAGGAAAGTAAAGTTGTAAACTTGAATAAACCTACAGGAAAGTAAAGTTGTAAACTTGAATTAATCTACAGGAAAGTAAAGTTGTAAATTTGAATCGATATACAGGAAAGTAAAGTTGTAAACTTGAATAGAAATACAGGAAAGTAAAGTTGTAAATTTGAATCGATATACAGGAAAGTAAAGTTGTAAATTTGAATCGATATACAGGAAAGTAAAGTTGTAAATTTGAATCGATATACAGGAAAGTAAAGTTGTAAACTTGAATAAACCTACAGGAAAGTAAAGTTGTAAACTTGAATAAACCTACAGGAAAGTAAAGTTGTAAACTTGAATAAACCTACAGGAAAGTAAAGTTGAATTAACGAGCAGATGTAGAATATAAGTTTAGCATCACAAAATAAATAAATTTAATAGAGGATTTGGCTGGATGACTCAAAATCCCTTGGTGATTAACAATTTTACTTTAAAATGGTGAAAAGTACAAACTAAAATGTAAATGTTTATTCGAGTTTTAAAGAAAAGGAAATTAAAATTTAGAGTTGCAAATATAGGACTATCACTTCGTGAAGTTTGTAATCCAAGAAATTCTACCTGAAACTTTCCACAAAAACAAACATTATGCCATCGATGCTTATGTTAAAGAAAAAAATATGTGACCTCACGCCTTTGGTGGCTGCCCCGCCCCCATCAGGTATTTGAAAACACAAGTGGCACTAATAAATCTAAAGCACTCACACGTTTTAAGATAATTATCTTAATGAAGAAAATTAATCACCGCCTCGTTAGAAATAACTCGTAGACAAACCCACCCACGTTATGGAGAAATAATTACCTCTAACGAATCAATTTTGTTTTATAGGGTTAGGATTAATTAAACGACGGTTTGAAAAAAAAAAAACCTGTAGGTAATTAATTCGGACAGAGCACCGTAAAGCATGCGGGCCAACACAAAGACGGATGAGTACTCACCTGGGCGTGTTCGCCCCGCGCGTGAACTTCATCAAGCACTCTCGTATTGACAAGAGAACGGCTGCCATTAACAGACAGATTCAATTTTCAACAAATGGAACATGCTCCATCAGCGCAGACGTGAAGAGCCTGTCAAAACTCGAGCTGGGGGCTCGGGGAGGATAATAGCAGCGAGGGTGATGGAACTTCGTGTATTCATGTCCTCTTCTAATTTTGCGGGATTTTTTTAACGCTTTTTTTTTTTAAAAAATTGTTTATTTTTTTCTTACATTTTGACTTAATGCCGACGGTAGTTAATTAATGAAAAATAAAGAAAATGTAATTATTATTATTAATTATGAAAGTTAAATAAAGTAAACTGTTATTTTTAATTGATTATTAAAAATGGTTACCTCAAGATTGATAACCGCAAGAGTAGAGGGGAACATAAACCAGACGCCCCGCTCGCCGTTTCACAGTTTACCCAGTCCCTCACTGTTGGCCCAGCAGACGTAGAGCCAGCTCACAGCCAGAAGCTTGGAGGGGGCTTCCGGGGCACTATTGTCGGTGCCGGAGTGAGTTCTCTACGGCCAGGTGTTATCGTGTTCCTGGTCTATGCAGGGAGTGATTAAGTTTGGTGAGAAAGAGAAGGGAGGGGAGTGGAGGGTGGAGGGAGGAATGTCTTGGAGAAAAAGATTTTCGTATGTAGCGGCCGTGTTTATTTGTAATTCATGGTTTCAAGAAAACTTTGGGGGAGAGAGAAAACAGGGGATGAAAAGGGGACGTAACTGTTACAAAAAAGGGGGGTTAACTGTTTATAGGTTAGCACAACACAAGAGATTAAGGTTTAAACAGCTTAAAAAACTAACAATAACAAAAGGGCACGCTTTTGCCCTAAAAATAAGTGACTTAAATTAAAAATATTTTGAAAAATATATAATTTTACATAGTTTGCTTAGTTTATTATATTCATGATTCAATAGACCCGTGTTTTGAACCTTGTTATTTTCAGATGTATCTAAATATATAATAATAGTGTTATACAATTACGTATTATTAAATGTGAAAAAAGTTGCTTACTGTGATCACTTGGTTTATTGCAAATAAACGCTTAAAAAAAAAAAACTTCATCGTTTTTGTTAAAACAGCTTATGAGCCACCCTTTGAGAGGTACGGAGAGGTCTAGCGGTAGAGAGCTAGACTTCCAACCTGTAAGTTTCGAGTCCAACCGACCCTGATGGGTACCTAACGCACGTTAGGGAAAACAAATTACAACATTTATACAGTATCAAAATTTACATACCAGTGATAGGTTGATGATGGTTTACGTATTGGCAAAAAAAAAATTATCGTTTTTGTTTTATTTTTTATTAAAGAGACTAAAACTTGAAATAAATAAAAAGGAAACATTTATCCCCCTTTTAAAACACCCCCTGCGTAACTTGCCCCCCCCCCCCCCCCCAAAAAAAAAATATTGCTAAATTTATTTACGGATGTGGAAAAAAAAGAACAATGTAAAATATATTCTACATTTAGATTTCATTTCTATTGAGTTATGACAAATACAGTCCACACTGTAGTATCTGGACAGTCCACACTGTAGTATCTGGACAGTCCACACTGTAGTATCTGGACAGTCCACACTGTAGTATCTGGACAGTCCACACTGTAGTATCTGGACAGTCCACACTGTAGTATCTGGACAGTCCACACTGTAGTATCTGGACAGTCCACACTGTAGTATCTGGACAGTCCACACTGTAGTATCTGGACAGTCCACACTGTAGTATCTGGACAGTCCACACTGTAGTATCTGGACAGTCCACACTGTAGTATCTGGACAGTCCACACTGTAGTATCTGGACAGTCCACACTGTAGTATCTGGACAGTCCACACTGTAGTATCTGGACAGTCCACACTGTAGTATCTGGACAGTCCACACTGTAGTATCTGGACAGTCCACACTGTAGTATCTGGACAGTCCACACTGTAGTATCTGGACAGTCCACACTGTAGTATCTAGACAGTCCACACTGTAGTATCTGGACAGTCCACACTGTAGTATCTGGACAGTCCACACTGTAGTATCTGGACAGTCCACACTGTAGTATCTGAACAATCTGTAGTGGTAGATCATGTACAGTCTACTGTGGTAGTACACATGTATGGTCTAGTGTGGTAGGACATGGACAATCAATTGTGGTAGGACATGGACAATCAATTGTGGTAGGACATGGACAATCAATTGTGGTAGGACATGGACAATCAATTGTGGTAGGACATGAACAATCAATTGTGGTAGGACATGGACAATCAATTGTGGTAGGACATGGACAATCAATTGTGGTAGGACATGAACAATCAATTGTGGTAGGACATGGACAATCAACTGTGGTAGGACATGGACAATCAATTGTGGTAGGACATGGACAATCAATTGTGGTAGGACATGGACAATCAATTGTGGTAGAACAGGGGCAATTGGTACGTGTGTGTTCATGCGAAAATCCAACAACAATATCGTTTTTTTTTATTTTGATATTTACTTTACATTCAGAAAACTTAAATCCGTTGCCTCGAAACATTTCACAGTCCAACTTTTTTACACCTGCTGTTAAACATTTCTGTTTCACATAGACATATCCATTGTGTTTAACGTTTTGAATCCCACGAATACTAAAAAATGTATGTATTAAAATAACAATAAACTTAAGTCTACTTCAATTTATTTTTAATCATAGACATAGTGACTAGTACCGATGACTTGTGTTTATATATTAATGCGTAGAATATATGTAATATATATATATATATATATATATAATACAGTGGCGTAGCGAGGTCGGGTGTCACCCGGTGCGGCACTTAATGGTGTGTCCCCCCCCAGAGGCGTAGCGACCCTTCCCGGGGACAAACTTTCAATTTTCGATTTGCACCATCCCCCCCCCCCCCCCCTCAAACTTTCGATTTGCACCTCTTAAAACACAATTTAACACTCGAATTAATCACTTAATTAAGTGGAATTATCATTTTTCTCTATATATTTTGCTATTTTTTGCCTTGGTGTCACCCCCCTAGATGGTGTCACCCGATGAGGTCCGCATCCCCCCCCCCCTCGCTACGCCTCTGATAAAATATATCTCAGCCGTTGTGTCAGACAGAGGCACCAGATGTACGTTTACGCCATTCGCATCTAAAAATTCTCTCCTTCACAAGCGTCAGCCAACCTTAGCAAAAGTACATTAACAGATTAACTAAATAAATAAACAACACAAGTAACGACATTTTAGGGTATCTAATATATGGAATACATAGTACACAACATAGTATACCTGGGTGTGTGTGGGAAAGAAGGGGGGGGAAATGATGTCCTACTGGGCGGTGATAATTTACAAGGGGTAATCGACAGGGGGTCATGCTTCATAGGGAAACTCCGGGAAGTGGCAATTGGTGTACGGTAATGTCCCAAACCCATTAAGACATTACCGTACCCCAAATACCATATATATATATATATATACATATATATATATATATATATATATATATATGTATATATATATATATATATATATATATATATATATTTATTTATTTATTTATTTATTTATTTATTTATTTATTTATTTATTTATAAGCATGTGTGTGTCAGAAAATAGCCATTTATCACCTGATAACAACACAACTGGCGTCTAAAATTAGCCACTGGTTCCCCTGTAGCTGTGTCCCACATTTACGCCCTCCCTTGTGGTATTTTATTCTTGACGCTATCGTCGTAAACACATGCATGCTCGTTTGTGACTGCCAGGAAATAAATTTGCTATCAGACAAAACTTTGGGACTTTGATTTGACAGAAATTGTTGACAAAATGAGAATAGGGTGAAAAGCCTTTGAGTTGGTGGGTTGTTTTTTTCTTACATGTAACGCCGTGAAAAATATGACTGATATTCACGCGATAGCTAATTAACTTTTGGTAGACGGAAATTAATTTTAAAGATTTTTTTAAAAAGTAGATATGTGCATGTATTTAACTTCGTGGTGAATTCCGTTGTTTAAAAATTCATTAAGTTTTTCCTAATAAGCAAAGTATAAGTTTCAGAAAACAGAGTCTTATACTACAACATGTCTTTCTCAGGATACAATGACACATAACACCCCCCCCCCATCCACGTCATCATGGTATACACATTGGCGTTAATTCCATTTGGCCGGATCATAAGTTTTAAACTTGCGGTCTATGAGAGGAATTTTTAAAGGCTTTTACTTAACTTAGGCAGTAAATGTTTGCCTGTGACTCCGCAAATATTGGAATATTAATTTAACCCTCTTCCCGTCGTCCTATTGAACTAAAAAACTTGTAAACTTTACTTTCCGGTCCCACCCTGACAAGCATGTAACCACTGTAATAAACAGAAATGTTATAATTTGATTTTAAATATTTGGACATTTTAGATGATTTTCATTGTTTTAAATAATTGTAAATCAGAAACGACCAAGAAAATAAAGTAAATATTGAAAATACAGGAAAATATTGGAAAATAAATATAAGAAATACTGAACCATAAATAGAAATATAGGAAAATGGAAGAAATAGAATAATAAAAGAAAAGTCAGGAATGTATGGCTTAGTACTTAATGCTTTCTGTACATTTTACTGCAGACCGTGGATATGAGCCAGAAAAGTTAAAAACTATTAAGTTATATTAAGAAAATAAGATTGACTTAATCTAATTAAATTAAGCGCTATAGTATTTCATGGAACAAATTATTACCTTCAGTGTGGTACAACCCTGTAATAGAACCCTGTGGTAGAACCCTGTGGTACAACCCTGTAATAGAACCCTGTGGTAGAACACTGTGGTAGAACCCTGTGGTAGAACCGTGTGATAGAACCCTGTGGTAGAACCCTGTGGTAGAACCCTGTGGTAGAACCCTGTGGTAGAACCCTGTGGTAGAACCCTGTGGTAGAACCCTGTGGTAGAACCCTGTGGTAGAACCCTGTAATATAACACAGTGATACAACCCTGTGGAGAAGGCAGCAGCAAAGGAAGCCAAATAATTCAGGGCGTGGCGGCACTGCTATAGTTTTACACTGGGAGCAAGTTGACTGGACTAAGTGGATTGGACCTGACTGGACCTGACTAGACCTGA